CCGAGGACAAAGCGGCAAGCATATAAGCAACGGCATCTGCCACCCAGATGTTCCTGGAGACCAGGAACACAGTTCACCAGATAGACTGAAGGATACTGATGAATATATAATTTTCTTTGTTATTTTCTTTAGTACAAGAGAGTTATGGCCATGTGGCGCTTCCGACGCGACATCGCGTTTTTTTTCGCAAATTTTAACGCCGGCACCGACGACATTGTAGTTATTGTATGCAAATACTAGTTTGGCACGAGTTACGCGTATAAAGGCAAGTATTTTAACACCTGCGCCATGACTTGCCTATAGTGATTAACTTGCCGCATTGTGCTCTCCTATACAATAAAAATCAGTGATGTTCTAACGATATTATTATGAAGAACAATCATCGTCAACGCACATGAAATATGAAGAAACTGTACAAAAAACGGTGTGCAAGCACTTTGCTGTATTCTTGTCTTCAGTCATCGTCATCATCGTGAATCAAGTAAGCAGATGGATTTGTGGCAATGAATTGGAGTTTTAGCTGAACAATCAAGAAAATACACTTAAGGTAAAAGCGCTTAATAGCTTTAAATACATCTGGACGTACTCTGTCTTCCTGAGCATCAGCTTCCGCTGACGATATGCTCATATCATTATGGATAGCAGCTTCTGCGGCATACAATTCACCGAGACCTTGTTGCTCAGCTCGTTGCTGCTTGTACTGTTCTGAAGCTGCCTTACGCGCTTCTTTAGACGCCACTATGGTTCTATAAGCTTGCTGAAATTATCACAACTTTTTGATTTGGTGAATGGAATCTTTGTTGTTCTTGCCTGAACGTTTTCCGGTTGTCGAAGTAGAATTTCGTCTAATCTTCTTTGTTTCTCTGACCTAAAATATATAAGATCTGCTCTTCCTATTTATGTTTCCAGCCTGATAAGAAGATTAAAAAGATATGTGATGCATAGGAACATCGCGTTGCTGATTTTCAATTTGAGATTGCTTCCTGCTTACACTTTCCCCTTTCCCTCTCCACTAAATTAAACCCTATTTTCAAATAAATTTGCGGGTGCATAACTTGGAATTTTACGAATTTTAGGTGAATTTTCAATTTGCTGTTCGAGATCAGAGGATTTGGTTTTGCATTGCGGCTTGATTAACATTGCCAATTCTGATCAATGTCAGCTATACAGCGGCAGTGCATACTCGTTATTCTTCAATTCTAAATTTATCCATAATAAATCTTTTCTCAAGGATTTTAACGTAAATCTATGCAAAAATTTGTAACTTGCCTGATCATGGTTTTGTTATCATCAAGAATCTTCAGCTCAGTGCGAACAACTGATGAGGTTACAAGGTCTTCGAGTTCCTCAATGTAAAGCGGACCGGACAACACAATGACGATAAGAGAGCAGAAGACAAAAAGAGACCTCATCCTACGTATATTCTAAAAGAATATATTTTTTGAAAGTTCAGTTAACATATTTCATCGCTTCATCGCTTCACTATATCGTATACAGTGTGTAAGAAAATGTGACCAGTTGTGCCAGTGTGGCAGTTTACGCAACGCTGAGGCCACGACAGGTTAATATCGATGAATTAATGAATGTCTAAGATGAAATGACAAGAAAAGATTAATGAAAATAGAAAAAGTCATCAATGATGACATTGCCTACATGGGGAACGTCGTAATATGTACAAAATACTGCACAAAAACTCTGTTTTAGAATATGGGAGCTGAAAGTTCAAATGTATGTAAAGTTCAAATGTGCAAGGTCACCTCATGGTACAATGTACAATAATGTTAACAATGATAACATAAACATCTTCAATCAAATAGAGTTTGCAGCTCCAGTCTTTCGATTTTAGCGTAATTTATCAATATTATTTTTAATATTGGCCATCATTAGGATTGTTCTATTTCTCATAATCATATAAAAGAAAAACATGAAGAATTTTCAAAATCGTTTCAAGAGAATAAGTGCGTATGTATGTGGCGAGAGGCACTTATATACTAGAGAAACTAGCGAAAAGCAGCAGAGCAAACAAATGGCGTTCATCTTGGCTCCATTTTGAACTTCTAGTTTCTTCGCGCTACTTTGTAAGACATGAGATGTGAAGGAAAACTTGTATTCTTGGGTGTTTCTGTTCTAAACATTTACTTGACGCCTAAAACTTAGCGTACTTTTGATTTTCAGACCCTCTATAAAATTCTTATGAATAGCAAAATAATCTCGAAGTTTTTTAAAACTAAAATTTCTTTCAAGACGAGAAAATAAAAGAGAGGGGTAACACAAGGAACGAGACGTTTCAGGGCGATTACGATTTCCGTTAGCCGGTCATACAGTATTTTACTAATCACTACTGGATTTAAGAAATGGTGCTTTATATCAGACGAATAGATAAGCGTAATAAATCAAAGATTGTTTCAGAAGCATGTGCAATGCTGTTAGACTGTCATGCACCATAAATATCCGCCATATTATGATATAAGAAAGCAACTTAGTTCAAAAATTGTTGTGTCAGATCGCTTGTCCAATCGAAATCAGGGTCATTTAACGCCATCGGGAAGCTCTAGCTAATATCCACATGAATTTATAACTCTTGTTCTCGAAATTTAGGATCTTTTTCGAAGAGTGGAAACGCCTTGCCTATAATATCGGACTAATAAGTATGAGAAAGATGAATAGGTGAATCGAAGCTCTGTATATATACATCATTGGCTAAAGTACAATTTTGAGAACAGGGCTTTATAGAAATATAAATATGCTAGTGAAAGTTCCACGAATTCCTACTAGTTACTTTCATAATCAAGAAACTGTGTTCTCTACAAATATTTTACCAAAATCATGATGTACCGCGTGAAACTCTAGATTCAGTTAAAGTTTACAGTCATTATACTTTTAACCAATCAAGTCAACTTTCTGTGTTACATTAGTCGGCAAACATCACTTCGATATGTTTACACAATGCGTACAAGTGATGAACGATCAGCTTCTCCCTCGTTCGTGAGTCTATTTGAGATGGCGCTCAGTCAGAGTTCATATTTTCTTTGAAGTTCAGCGAGTTTAGTCATAGGAGAAATATTTAACTGTGTTCATATGAGTTATAAAGAACAGCACCTCAACATCTTAGGGCTATGAGTCATTTCAGTCAGTTACCTACTTATTAGTTGAAAAAAGATATTCGCTTAAGCCGTATCACCTGAGAAAATATCAATGCTGCAGTTTAATTCATACCTTATTGCACACATAAGTTAAATACATAG